ATAGAAAAGCAGTAGTCAAGTACGTTGTATGTGATGTGATGCAAATTCATGGAAGTCGTTTAACGCTAACGTTGATAAGTCGAGAAAAAAAGGCAATTAGAATCCTTAAAAGGATAAACGCTATCGTAATTGGTGAGCAACCGAGCATAAAAACGGACATGTTTATTATATATCAGTTCATGCTTTATTTCACTTTGATATCTTTATAACTGTATCGTGTTTGACATAATTATTGCCGTTCTCGATGCTCTCTAGTCGAGAAAATGGAAGGATTTGTAGAATTTTAATCAAATCTTCCTCTGTATGAGAAAATATTTCGCTAACAATATTCGCTGCCGTTGGGACGATTTTAAATTGCGCTCAATCTAAGTAAATACGGCGAATTTACACAGAGTTCTCTCATTCCTTTTACAAATTCCGACTCTCTGTAATTATATTTGGATTTCAGACTTTTTTAGTTTTCGCTCGGTGCACATTTCAATTAAGCAAAATAAAACCAATTTACTTTTGACGATCTGATGATATTACGTAGTATGTTCTTCTTTGTATATTACTGCATGGGCGTGTTTCTTGTTTTCGCAGAGGGGTTGGAATATGAAGAGGAAAGTAGTCGATGTAATAATAAAATGTTTGAAGAAGTCGTCGGTACTGCGTTTGGCGAACAAATTTAATTAGGGAAAAGAGAATAAAGTTTAGCAACGTAAATTAATTACGGAAAAGTCTTTCTTTACTTTATATTTTCTTTAATTCTTTTCTTATTTTTTAATGATCGCACAGTATTCCTTTTCCTTCTCACCAAAGTGTTTTTTGCTGGGGAGTTTTTACGTTGCTGACGTTTACATTTTTTAGTCCTGATCAAATAATTAAAATGCTCTCTGTATTGATTGGAAGAAACGTTTTTTCGTCAGTACAAAAAACTATGTTAATATATGACAGCAAATCGCCACTGGCGGCAGCGTTTCGAACTACTCTGGACTCTTGATATGTCAAACGGGCGTTTCATCAGTTTGACAATCGAAACAAAATGGAAACGATTTTCGATTAAAAGCGAACATTTTTGGTAAATACAAATTTGTTTTATTTAGAAACACCGCGACGCGGGCGTCGGTCTGATGTCACGTTAGTGCGGTTTGAGAAGACTGTGCAATAAATATATGAATCAAGCGCTGCATCAGCTAGTAGATATCTACTCGTAAACAAGTCAGGCGAACTCGAGTGGCATTTCCTAGATTGAAATACTGTTTTAGATTGTTTGTGATGCCCTCGTCCCGACGGTCAATATTATTTGAAGCGAATGAACCCTTCAACATGCAGACGCACTTGTAAAATGTAAATGTTACCAATATCGTAGGCTAAGTTCCTCCAAAATTTAAATTTTCTCCTATTCCGATTCCCTCTCGAACGACGCAGTAAGGATTAGAAGCGGCCCTACTCACCTGATCTACGATATATTTTTATAGATTAAAGAAGGATAATGCTGATTAAAGAATAATAAGGGAAAGTGTCGCAACGTTAGGGTTGTTACAGTAGGGAAACTCCGAGGGAGGGAAGTACGGTCAATATATTACGGGGTCGCCGAAATATTATTTGCACCTGCACTGTTATATGAGCTTAATTCCGCAACAGTGAATTATCGTCATGTAATTATTCCATCTACTTAGCTGTATGATGAATTGCCTTTATGATGAATAGCCCTTATTTTAATTGAATATGTTTGAATGACCGAGAAGCCGTCACGTTTAAGGAATATCAAATTAAACCATTCGCTTGAATGTTCTAAAAATTAGATTACCCTATTATTAGTATTTATTTTGTCCTTTTTGATTTGGGTGCGATTGTTGAGAAAGAATTGAACAAATTCAAATTTTGAGACTTTTGGGTATGCTTTTGTTTTTTTTTTTAATCCACAGTTTACTAGATATGAGTGAAAAACAGGTTTGGTGATTTTTCATTTAACTGTTGTAGAATCGTTAGTATTAGAAATACAGAAATATGCAAAGTCAAAGAACAAAAATTGTAGATTTTTTTCCGCTTTAAGAAGATACATTTATTAATATTTATTCTTCTTTTATAATTTTTGAGTTATAACGCAAACTTACATTTTTTTAAATGGTAATCAACATTGGCCTGTTCAATTGTCGTCGTAAATGAAATGTACCTATCTCACTACATATTGTTTTCCATGGCCAACTCTGTTAACTTACCTCTCAATAATACGAAAATTACTACAGGGCGTTTATTTATTAAAGTACATTTAGCAAGACTTATATTGTTATAAAGAGAAAAATTTGTCCCTTTTAAAAATGTCAAAGCCAACTATGACTACCATTTAAAAAAAATTAAAGTTTGTATTATAACTCAAAAATTGTAAGATCTAAAAATAAATTAGTATGTTTATCATGTTAAGCATTAAAATCTCTAAAACTTTTATTCGTGTCATTTTGTTGTATTTCTAATAATAATGATTCTACAACACTACACTAAATCTGTTTTTCGTTCATATCTAGTGAACTGTGGATTTTTTTTCAAAAAACAAAAGCATATCTTAACTAAGGTCTTAAAACGACAACTCTTTCCTCATTTAACCGAATCCGTATGTCTTATGGTTTCCGAGATCCCAATACTTAAAATGAAAAAAAAAACTCACCCTGTATTGTATACGGTGTTAATTAGATGGCTAGTGAACGTAATGGTCATACATGAGCTAAGTGACCTTTTATTGAACAGTAGATTTTAATTAAAGACAGGCGGGCTGGAATCTAAGGGGCGGTAATAATTAAATGCTAGTGGTTGTATAGGTAGTTTAACTTCAGGCACTAGGTGCGCACCACTGTGCTAAAATTTACGAGGTTTTGATAGGGGTTACAGGAATATGGATTCCCCCAGATATAAGGCCGATTCTAACTCAAAAGTCACTAGATGTGGAAAAAAGTCACTAGAAAAGTAACTAGGTTTGAAACTCTACTCAAAGTCACTAAAAGGTCACGAGAGGTTTGAAACTGTGCTAACAGTCACTAGAAAAGTAATTAGGTTTGAAACTCTGCGTCACTAGAAAGGTTTGAAACTCTGCTAGTGATATAGGGGCCGATTCTAAATCAAAAAGTTACTAGATGTGAAAAAAAGTCACTAGAAAAGTAACTAGGTTTGAAACTCTGCTCAAAGTCACTAGAGGTTTAAAACTCTACTAACAGTCACTAGAAAAGTAACTACTAGGTTTGAAACTCTGCGTCACTAGAGGGGTTGCTATTGATATAGGACCGATTCAAACTCAAAAAATCACTAGATGTGCGAAGGTAACTAGGTTTGAAACTCTGCTAGTGTCAAGTCACTAAAAAAGTAACTAGGTTTGAAACTCTGCTATTCTCATATAGTGGGAATTATTCGTGTTGATTGATTATCGATTTCGGTTACTCATCACTAAAGGTTATTCACCTCATGTTCTTTCTGAGTTATTGATTGATTATCGATTTCGGGGTCACGGCAACTACGGTCACTAGATTTGTAAGAGGTTAGAATCATTGCTAGGGGTGTGTTTCTGAACTAAACTGCTTCCTTTTAAACTAGCTCTGGTTTGTGTCCGAGTTTTGTATGTGATTGAACCGTTTCCTGATGAGTGTACGGGTGATTCTAAATCACACTAAAATCCCCCTAGAAAAGTCACTATACTGTATTCATTTTAAGAAGGTAGCGGTAGAAAGCATAGGGAAGCTTTGACCTTCACTGTGATTGGTTAAAACATGAGTCAGTATTACAATGAAACATAAAACGACTGGTGAATTTTGTAAGGTGGTAGTTTATGTTGCCAACTAAACTGCTGAAGTGTCATTAGCTGTTATTGTCAAAGGTTTATTTCTATTCGCAGTGCCGAATATTTCTACTTTACAATAATTTGGTGCCGTTTTATATTTTTCCTGTGTGTGTTTATCTTTAAACACAGCGCCATCTACTACCTTCTTATAATGGATGCAGTATAGGATTGAGTGGTTCTGAACTGCGCTAGCGAGGTTTGCGCCTGTGCTAACGTCAAGGGGGTCGAGGTTTGTGCTCGAAATAAAGTATCGGAGGTTTGCGTCCGAGCTAAACTAATTTGGTTTGCGCCTGAGTGGAGGGTACTGGTACCAGCCAGGTATCTCCAGAACTGGGGTTGGGACGGATTATAGAAACAGGAATTCCTGATACAAACCTGGCACAAAGTGTCGACCAGTAGTTTCAGGATGGTTAGGAGGATTCAGGATAGAAATTTAGGCACTAGGTGCGCAGCACCAGCCTGACTTTCTGGCGAAGGTGGTCTTCGTGAAGTCTAGAGAAATTACAGAGTGCAGGCCAGGTTGTTCGGGACTACTGGAGCTGGAGGAAGGTCAAGTAGAAAAGTAAAAGTGTCTCTTACGAACTGGACGCTCGCATTTATCCTCAATGGCTGTTTACATTTGCGGGAATAACTGGAAGTGGTAATAGGAGCAACGGGATAACTGGAAGTGACACTTGGAGAAGTAGAAAGGTGAGATGGGTGACGGCATCTTATATGTATGGTGTTAAATTAGAAAATAATGCAGACAAATTAGGAAAACCTTGCCATATGCTTGGCTGGCTAATGTATTGCACTTAAAATTTAGATACCTTTAAATTAACAGAAATTTAGCACCATGCATGAGTGAGGTAGTAAAAAAATGAGCTTTCTAATGATGTATCACATGACCATATTACCATTAAACAAATTCAAGATGGCGGTTACAATTCCGGAACAAATATCTTCAGGTATAAACTTCGAGGTAGGTCAATGTTGGTAGAATGAAGTGGATTCATATGGTTAATGTAGGTAGAGTTCCCAAGCCGGTGATGTAGAAACTCTATCTATCGCATGACGCGCCGAAACCACAGATCCTTAAAAACGATTCAATGGAGCCGCCACACACATCAAAGAGAAAGAGAAACCACTCCAAAGATAATATGGTAAAGCGAAATCAAAAGCTCGTAAGGCGAAAGTAGAAACTTCACTGAGGAGGAAGAATACAACTGCACGGGTAAGATAAAACTTAAAGAAGGAGGGATAGAATTAAGTGCAGAAAGGTACAAAGCGTGCACTGTGGCAACCAGACAAAGAACTAGGCAAAAGAAACTTCTAGGATAATCTCTAACGGCAACACAAAGAACTATAGGTAATAAGAAATCTATACTAAGTTAATAACAAATCTACTACAGAAATTAATTTACACCTAAACTAGTGGATTATAAAGAAGATACCTAGATGGCGTAAGGATACTGAATTTAAAAAACGTTTACATTATAAATAAGGCAGAAGATGCATTTGACAGTATTCGTTGATTTAAAGGTATAATTCAGGTAACGTATCGATTTTAATTTTGGTGGTATATTTAAAATTGGAGCGTTATCTGAGCGTTCCCAAATTTTCTTGTCATACATTTACGCAAATTAAGTTTTGGGTACCTATACCAATATCACCACATAATATATAACAGAGCCTTATATAAACAAACCGAAAGTGGTAAATTTTATATGAATTAGGAGTCGGTAAGTAAATATCAACAAACAGTGGCGTACCGACGTGGAGGTAATATTTTCAACTCTATAGATTGTCGTGAAACATCACACAGGGGGTGCCAAATACATTGCTTGACCTCGATCGCGCTCAAATGTTTCTCCCTCTCATCGTTATAGGTTACACCGTGAATTTTGAAATCTTAGCCTAGTTAGAATTGACTCCATCTCCAGTACAAAATGCAGGGAGTGTTTTGTTTCGGATTTGGTGTTGGATTGTTGCATTTTTTGTTGTGAATTTCGAATTTGATTTAAAGCTCTATATTAAACCGAGTGCCAGTCTGGTGCAAATAATTTACGATTGTTGCTCAAATGCGAACTGACTGTTCCATTTTTATGATTTAGAAGTAGTGCGGCGCGTATAACGAAATTAGAAAAATTCCGAATGTTGCCAACACTTGATACCGTTTACACTGCGCAATAAATTTTTATAACTCACACATGGTGTCGCAAAAGGACGACGCTTTGTGCTACTGAATGGTCGCGTATGATGGGAACCGGCGGCGTCGCCGTCCACGTAATTGTGATGAATGGGTGTATCTCGGTCCTGGTCGTCGCTTAATCGAATTCGTATACTAAGGATCACAGTTGGCAACCATTAGTAGATTGCCTGCAGTGTTTATGGCGAGAAAAATCAATTCTTATCTACCTAATTCTGGAAGAGATATTCAGAAAACGCTCATTTTCACCGGGAGGTCGAAATAAGGTTATTTTTCTTAAGTGCTTGTAGCGATATAGAGGCACTCGACTCGTTTTTAAAGGGTGGGCTTGTCGAGGGGGTGCGATAATCAGCTGTGCACATGACACATCTGATGTGATTATCTCGGCATGTGCGAGCGGTCCCATCACCACACACAGACGCATGGAGAGCACCAACATAAGTTTAAGTTTATCAGATTAGGGCACTTCAGATGTTTCATGATCTCGCTTTGTTTCAGCTTTATTGTGTGCGTTGGCGTCGTGGACCAATTAGCCAAATGCTGCGTTTCGGTCCGAGGTCCGGTGCACGACAACCCCTTGGCGTGCGCCTTTCTTCTGTCTGCTCTCGAGTTCCTCGCCGCTCTTGCAGACCATTGCTCGGAAGAAGGAGACTCCACGCACCTGGTGAGCGGAATTATTCTTGTAATAAAAGCTCGATCTTTATGCTTTCAGATTACCACTCTGTACGGAACCGAGCTAATGGGGGCGGTTTCTATGCTTTACGGCACACTGTTACCACCGGAGTCAGCGCCCCGCACGGAAGGCCAACCGCCCCCAATAATACCGGCCCTTTGTCTTAATCTGGCGACCGCAACTTTCAAGCTGCTAAGGAGGGTCGCCGAATTGGATTTTAAAAAATTTCAGGTGAGCCACTACCCGAAGACCTTATGTTTAAATTTACGCTAATTACTTCGTGCTCGTTGATGGGTGGTAAATTGCGGTGTACGAGTAAAGCACACATACTACAATGATAAACAAACATATCAGTCAATGTACACAAGAAACGCCCTAGAGATCGTGCCCAAATTAACTGAAGTTTGAGTACAAAGCCAATTTCGAACTGGAAGCAAAATGATTCAATTAAAACGTAGCGGTCGATGTAAATATAGATAGAGGTCTTTTCTGTAAACAAGGGAAGCTAACTTAAATTGATACTACCCCAGTGCCTGTATTTTCCAATGTTTACGCGATTTTACTCAATTAATATTAAGTTAATTAGAAATCTTCGCTCCCGCCACAATAATAATTATCAACTGCACGATTCACGTCAAATTATACACTTTTTCGATAATTGTCAATCACTAAAAATTTCGAGAGAAATCAAAAAATGGTATATTAAATAAATGTGTTTGTTAATTTAGTTACTTTTCGATAGTTTTGACAAAAATGAAGTTAGTTTTTCATTGTTTTTGTTCCAAAATTTTCTTGCTTCATATTCCTCTACATTTCAAACGCAATTTTCAACTAAACGGTGTTAGTTTCTGTAAGCTCTCACAAACCATCGTTTATTACCTCCACTTATTTGTTAAATAAAAGTTTAAGTTCTCCGGAAAAACCTCACGTTGGATAAGATTTACTTGAATCTTAGGTAGTTCAAATGTAATTTTTGATTAAATGTGAGTTTTGTAACCGAATTTGGATTACTATACATGATAAGTGGCTATATGTCCTATAAACTTAACGAAATTATTTGGATGTTTTGGAAATCTTTTGGAAAATATCCTATATTTCAGTAAATAAGCAGCCTTTTATAAAGCAAACGAAAGAGACTCATTATTTTCAGAATTTGTTGAAGTATGTACCTAATGCCTCGCCGCCTCGGTCGTGCACATTTGGAAAAATTATTTTACTACATACACGTAGAATACGTATAAGATGGATAGCTACCAATGAATACGTAAGTTATGATATTGTAGCGAATATTCCAGAATGCGACATCGGGTTGCCATCAGGTTGCCGTCAAGTGTGTCAAGGATTAGTCACGCATTATTTCCGGGATATATATGTTTCGAGAATGTTTTTGTTTGATATATAAGCAAATTGAATCGTGTTTCATTTCAGTTCCAACATCGACGCCAAAGTTATATATATGTACTGACATTCGCTCTCCTGTGTTATAGATCTACATGTTATAAATTAGAGTACAAGTGAGTGATCTAGTGAGTGATAAATAATAATTAACGGTTATAAATTGACCCATCAATACCAAAGCCTTCAGCAGCCTCACTAATCGCAACGAACGTGATGTTTCTAAACTCATTCTCGATATCTAGAAACGCTCCCAGCTCGGCAGACATTACTCACTCCAGCCTGCACACGAGGCTCTGTGAAGAGTCTTGTAATCGTAGGTACTGTGGATCAAATCGGGCCTTGATAGTGGTAAGGTGCAATCTTCGGTAACGAGAAAAGGTGATGTACGTAAAATCAGGTATGTCGGAGCGATTTACAAGAGTAATAATCACCAAAAGGTTCCGTTAACTTGCAGTTAAACAGGAACTATATTGAAATCTCCAGGTATAAATTTTCGAAGTAGGTACTAGTAACGTCGCTAATGTCAATCTCGCTAAGATGGCGGGTCCAGGTAAAAATGCGATGTCATTTAGGTTTTGTGCAGGTAATATCCAGGTAGATAATGTCGGAAAAGTAATCCAAAAGAGAAACGATGAGATCTTAGGAGAAAACGTTGAGGGAAGATAAAGGTCTGAAAAAATCATAACCCGTACATACCTCACACTAATTACAGTGCAATCTTGATAATCCGGCCTTCGTTAATCCGGCGTCTTTGGGACGACTACAAGATGTCATTTTTGATAAAATGCATATCTAGCCAAGAAACAAAAAATTAATGATTATTTTTCCTAATGTGTAAAATTACGTATTTGTGTATATTTTGTATTTCTTTGTAAGTATTTTCATTGTATGCACATATATTCATAGTAAAATTGGCGTTTTTTCTCTATCACTCTCGATAATCCGGATTATTTGATAATCCGGCGGTTGCGTGGTTCCATATGTGTCGGATTATCAAGATTCTACTGTACTTGCAAGCACACATTCGCAAAGCGTGTTCAATGAAGCACAGCCACAGCACATCAGAAATAGAGAGAATACTTATACTCCAATGGTGAAACAATGAGTCCTTATTCAGATAGAGACTAAGTCAAGTAAAAAGTAATAGCGTATCGAGAAAAATCTGCACGCAACCACTGTGAAGGCAAAACCGTCTATACATACGCGAAAGAATTGCAACTGGACGCAAGATCAAATTAAACAAGGGATAGAATTAGAAGTACCATGGAAAACATCTGCACGGCCTCGGGCGGCGAAAATAAAAAACTATTGTAAATGAAACCTATAACAGTCGAATGGCCTCTAGCGGCGAACTAAAGAACTAAGGTAACCAATCTACTACAGGCATAAGTTACATCTTAACTAAACGGTTTTACAAAGGAATAACGCGACGTTTTTGTGGATGCGGAATCACGTGGGTTTTTGAATGCACATAAACGCGTACAAAAACGTCCGTCTGTATGGCCCTTAATGCACATAATTCCCCCATAGTTTCTGGAAGTTCATATTTTTGGATACAAGAAATTGGCCGCACCAAATTCATTTTTTTAGTATCTTATTTTCTCCAGGTGCGCCAAATTTCTGCATAAGAATACATTTAGGAAGAAGTCCGCTATTCCGAGAATTTTATTTCAACGGTGCAAAACCGCCATATTTCTTTCTTGCGGTTGTAGAACGTTTCATGGACATGGACTTAAACTACCAGCACAGATTTAAACACTCTAAATCTGTGCTACCAGTAATTCAATTCTGGATTTATTACCTTTAATTAAAGAGAGCGTTTAATTATTTCACGTAACGTTACCTATTCATTGTATACAGGGTGGGCCATTAGTGTGTGGGTGGACGATTGTAGGTTTATTAACGCGCATATTAAAAATTCATTGTGAGGGAATGTTGATGGACCCTTCAGGCTACAATCTAAAAATATTTTCACCGAAATTGCAATTGTTATAGAGGGTGATATTTATATCAAAGTTGCATTTTTTTTTAATGGAACCCCGTATATATTATTACATATTTCGATTCCTTGGTCAATTTTAGTGTAACTTTATGTATACACATGATATCTAAAATGAGTAGTTTAGCCGCAATTCTTCGTTTTTTAAAAAGTAGAATTCCAATAAAAATTGAATATCGCAGTTATCATAAAACTTTAGAAGGCCGTGACTTTGCAGTGGCACTAATCATGAAATGTACTAACATACGCTGAACAGCTAAACTTTTTTTGTGTTAAAAGAAATCACTCCGTCAATTTTCAAAATTTCAATCAGAGGTAACTTGATTTTTTTTAATGGAAATACGAAGTTTTTTTTATTGCATGAAATGTAAAATTTGATTACCTTTCTAACGATATAGGCATGTCGGTACCTATTTTTTGTAATTCAGCAGTTTCTAAAAATTCAGTGTTTTTTGCGATTTTTAAAGCCTCTCAGTAATCAGTAGGCCGTTAAAAATTAAGAACAATTCAAATGATAAAACATTTACCCACAACAAAACAAAACAAAAACTCTTGTTTGTCGTAGCCCATTTTAAAAGATAAAATAATGAATTTGCATTTAAACCAATGCGTGAACGTATAAATAAATCAATTTGAATAGTAAGCCAGGAAAGCCATATTAGAAAATATTAACACAAAATAAAATGAAACAACATTTGTCAGTTTAGTTTATTAGCATTTACAATTCTGTTGTTGATTGTTGTGTTAGAAAAATGGAATTTGAATAACATTTTAAACGGTGCTCTTTACTTAAAATTTTTAAGTACTCTTTTTTTTGCTCGTCTTCAAAATTTTCTGGTGCACATAGTAGACGGAATGTGGTTTCAGCACGATGGTGTCCTACCTCATTTTGTCTTGTCTTGAACATTTATTGAAATAATTATTTTTCTCTTATTTTGATTTACACTTTTTATTTTGATCTTCTTAAGTTTTTGTTTTATTTTATTTGGAATAATTTTTTTATAAATTCAATTGTTTATAATTTTTAACGGCCTATTAATCACTGAGAGGCTTTGGAAATCGAAAAACACTGTGAATTATTAGAAATTGTTGAATTACAAAAAATATGTAAAAGATAAATATCGGCATGCTTATATTGTTACAAAGGTAATAAAATCCTACATTTGATGCGATAAAAAAACTTGGTAGTTCCATTCAAAAAAATCAAGTTACCTTTGATTGAAATTTTGAAAATTGACGGAGTGATTTCTTTTAAAACAAAATAAAGTTCAACTTTAGCTGTTCAGCGTATGTTACTAGATTTCATGATTAGGGCCACTGCAAAGTTACGGCCTTCTAAGTTTTATGATAACTGCGATAATCAATTTTACTGGACATCTACTTTTTGAAAAAACGACGAATTGCGGCTAAACGACTCATTTTAGATATCATGTGTAATACATAAAGTCACACTAAAATTGACCAAGGAATCCAAATACCAATGTAATAATATACAGAGGGTTCCATTAAAAAAAATTCAACTTTGAAATACATCACCCTGTATAACAATTGTAATTTCGTTGAAAACATTTTTAGGTTGTAGCCTGAAGGGTCCTTCAACATTCCCCCACAATGAATTTTAAGTATGTGCGTTAATAAACCCGCAATCTTCCATCCACCCTGTATCTATTAAAATTAACTAATTTTAATTTAACAACAGTTTATTATAATTATTATTATAATATATATATTAATTTATAAAGTATATCGCCCCCTTATTTAAGACTGGTATGTGCACTTTATGATCAAGCCTTTATTAGGTATTATACCTGAAAATGGATGGAATTCAACAGATTTGGCGGTTAATTACAAGCGATAAATGTACACTGTGCGACTAATTTAATGAACGGCATTCGTTTTTTGTCACGAAGGCGTCGTTAGACTTTACAATAAATGATTTTAATCATGTTACAATTAAATTTCGCTATCGAAATCTATAATATATGAGAATCAATTTGAATTTCGACCATCCCCTAAAATAAGACGCTTCCAATCTGTACATGGGATTAAAGAATAAGTGGTAAAAATACAGTCGTTTTACTTAGGTAATACATGAAAAATTTTCTGAAGATAGAAAATAAAGTTAAAGTGCGCAATCTTTAAGCTTTTCGTTCTTATATTCCCGAAGGGAAAGTCGCGTGCACGTGTAGCAATACTAGAAGCATCGAACACACTCCGAATTATCATCCCTCGAGAATAAAGAATTGAAAAGTGTAGTATAGGGCAGGGCGAAAACTTTTTCTCACATATTCGAATCGGTTGACATCCGTACAATGATATGCTTTCAGGGAGTTCTCGGCGCCGAGGGAATTTCCTTACAATTTCGGCACATCGCTAGTCACCTTATTTGGTCCTGCACCTCGCCGACGCTACCGAAACCGTCCAACGGAAGTAAGGATAACACGAAATTACTGTTGGAGGCGCACCAGCAACTGCTGCACGAGGTTATTTACGTTACCGGATACTTTGCGGTCGGCGACCAAGATAATCAGGTGGGTAATTTAAATTTTGTTTGCTTGGGAAAAATCGTCAAAATCCGGGTTGCCAATATCGACACGGTTGTGTGTTAATGAGGGCGCGGCATCGTCGTTGGCCACGAGGACGGGGATTTCGGTGGCGCCGCGCTATCTTAATGACGGCGGGCCAGCGTGGAATGTGGACCAGACACGACCGCCTGCGTCATGTACACCAAAAGATATCGAAAACACTATGGCGATGCCTTCGGTGAGTGATGATAACATGACGCTATTAAAACACACCATCGGCCAATTTTAATATACATCTTCTGTTACGTAACATCAGTTGCTGGTTCCATTTTAATAGTTTTCTTAGTATGGGGGAGTAATGGTCACAATTTCGTTTACAAAAAGCTGCAGAGGATGCGAGTTTATCTTTTCTGCAGAACTTGTACAATGACCCTAAAAAAATCAGAAACGCGCACACACTTCTGTGCAGGCGCCCACAAATTTGATGGAAATACAGTGCACATTTAACTAATTGGAATTTTCAGGGGTCGAAGTAATTTTAGATCTTTCAAAAAGTTTACTCACAACAGCCCCCAAAATTGCGAAAATTAACATCACGCGCACCGATCACTTTTGTGGGACTTTTGCTTATTAATTAAACTTTTTGTTGTCACGATTCCAGAAATCAATATCCAATGTGTCGTTTGTCCCAAAATTTAGGTTTCTTCTGCTTTCATTTTTTCTCATGAATCATAAGAACCTGCGCTTTTTTATTTAAAGTTTTTGAGTACCTATGTCCGTTCTGATCATGTTAAAATATTTCCGAAATTCCTACCCCAAGATTATTATCCTTAAATAGGGTGCGAAAAACGAAATTGGTTACCTGGGGACTTTTAAACATGAAACTAATGAATCTAAAATGAGTTTTTGAAAATTTAAAAAAAAATGGCTCAAATTTGGTTGGTGCAGCTTGTATGTATGTATATTTAAGAACAAAGCTGTCGATCAGGTTAAAGTGGCGAAGTTTTGCAGTTTTGTATGTTGACTAAAGTTTCCATTTTTTGGAAAGTTTAGTTATATAAAATGAAAGTTGAATGAAGTTTTTTATTTCCGTAGAACGAACACATATTGGATTTTTAATTGATTAAAGAGTGTTTTATTCTCTTATTCAGTGATGTAAGATATTATAATGGGTGACCAAAAATGAGGAGCGGTCGAGTCGCCTTTGGAAGTTCAAGTTAAGTACGATTTCCCATGTAAACAAAAATTCCAAAGGTAACTAATTTTTGATCGCATAGTACTTATAATTCAAGAAACAAAACTAGTAAAGGTACCTTTACACTATCATACTTTTCATGTGATTTGTCATATGATAAGTGATAAGCATTTAGATTTGTGTTTACACTATACTATTTTTGGTATTATGGCTGTCATAAGACAAATCATAAGGAAATAATATGGAAATAATACGTAAATCGTGGAATAGGGATGTTTCTATTTCTGCATGACAAATGACATGACTTATTAAGGATCCTCAGATCCTTTATAGTTTTGTATTGTCGTCCGTCCGTTAAAAGTGGCCGATTGTGTTGAAATTTGGTATACGGGTACGTTGGATATTAAGAACGGACGCTATTGATTTTCAGGAAGCTGGTTCAACAGGAACAAAAGTTATACGACTTCGAGTGAATCGGGAACAGGAAAAACTGCGAACTCAATATAATAAAAATCAACATATTTCATTCCCTAGGTCATGTATCGAGTTCGGACTTTCGCTAGATTATTCCCTATGACTCTTAGAAGTGTAACAATTCAATATAACTCTTCTCTGTGGTCTCGGTCAAAAGTTTTAGAGCAAAATGTACCCAAAATTATTCTTTACACATGAATTTAGAGTTGTAAAAGCTTTCAAACGCATTATCTTGATGCTGAAAGAGTTGATAACGTGCACGTTTGATAACCGCATGTGTGTGATTCAAAAATGTTAAATTATTTTTCTGAGGCCACATGGATTTTGATCAAAATATGTCAAAATCGTTAATTATGCACCAAGATCGTTGGGAAAAAGACTACGCGCATTATCTCAATGCCCAAGACATGAATTTGATGCATTTTTGGCGACCACGTGGATTTTGATCAAAACATGTCAAAATCGTTATTTATGCACCAAGATCGTTGGGAAAAAGATCAAGAGCATTATCTCAATGATCTAAACATGAATTTGATCTATTTATATGGACCACATGGATTTTGATCAAAACATGTCAAAATCGTTATTTATGCACCAAGATCGTTGGGAAAAGACTAGGCGCATTATCTCAATGCCCAAGACATGAATTTGATGCATTTTTGGCGAACACGTGGATTTTGATCAAAACATGTCAAAATCGTTATTTATGCACCAAGAGCGTTGGGAAAAAGACTAAGCGCATTATCTCAATGCCCAAGACATGAATTTGATGCATTTTTAGCGACCACGTGGATTTTGATCAAAACATGTCAAAATCGTTATTTATGCACCAAGAGCGTTGGGAAAAAGACTAAGCGCATTATCTCAATGCCCAAGACATGAGTTTGATGCATTTTTGGCGACCACGTGGATTTTGAACATGTCAAAATCGTTATTTATGCACCAAGATCGTTGGGAAAAAAACCAAGAGCATTATCTCAAAGCCCAAGACATGAATTTGATGCATTTTTGTTAACTATAAAATGTATTTTGTAAGATAAAAATAAATTGTCGTTAAAAGTGATTGTAATACTGAGGATCCTTCGATATTTCGTTGTATCGGTTTATTATTATTATTATTATTATGAAGCAACCAAAAAGTTGGTTCCTAAGAAGTCGGCCGCAAGGTATGAAACAGAGTACTAAGTAAGTGTTTTGCCAATTGAGGAGCGAACGTGGGGCGAAACAAGTAGAGGAAAACGTCATGTTGGCATACTGTTTGGATGCAGTAAGTTTTTGAATTGAGATTTTTTTGCCTGGGTTTCGGTGTTAAAGCGTCATGGGGCATGGAAAAGCTCATCGACGGCAGAAAAATACATCGAAGGCTCGGTAGAAGGAAAAGTTAAGATTGCCCGTATGGTACAACTGATACAAGGCGGCGAAAATTTCATTGAAGTTCTACAGCAGAAGGAATCAAACATTACTAACTCGACATCCAGTAATAACCCAGGCGTTAGTGTTGAGGGCAATACAAATTGTTTCATTCCAATCAATGTTAATGTTTGAAATAAAGAATTACAGCCAAATTTATGTTGGGGTTTTTAATTAATTGTGTGAAGATGTCAAATTTGATGTAGATATACAAATAACAGTCCGGTAAGTGTTGCTTACCGGCTCTGATGCTGTAATAACTCACCTACCGGACTCAAAATGATAGTGTAATCGAACATCTACCGGACAGTATGAAATAATACTTATTTTTTAAAGTATTTGAATACTTTTCAATGTATCTGTATCTAGTATTCGCTTGTGCTGGACGTAAAAGTATTTAGTATTCAAATACTTTTTTTAAGTATTCTGCCCAGCTCTGTACGTCAATGGGAATTAAATTATATAATGTCCTTCCCAAAAGTGTAACAGGTAAGAAAACATTAAAGAGTCTTAGGGCAGCTATAAAAGCAATTCTTTTAGTTCAAGCACCATATACTGTGGATGAGTTTTTTAACTTTTGTTTTCGAAACTAGTTTTTCTGTAATTATTTAAACGTGTTCTAGTATTTAAAATTGTGGAGTTATATACTGTGTACATTTGACGTATCTCATGCAATGGTTCACATTGTCAGAGATAATAAATAAATATTGAAATATATAAACAAAAACGAAGAAAAAATGGGAAAATGTCGTTTTTGTTCGCATTTGACTTCAACTGAAGGAAAAAATGAGGAGAAATGAATTTGTTTAGAATCGAATTTTCTATGGAGCATTCAGTTTTGAATCTTATTGTTTTTTATGGAAAAATATAAAAAAGTAATCCAGAAATTTAACAATCTATTATTATAAAGTAAAATTCATCCGATCATTTTGAAAATCCGTATTTGGTCACTTCCTTTGATAACAAAACAATATTACACACCCGATCACGATAAATTTCATAGTTATTGATTCATTAAATAAACAAATTAAACAACGATGCTGTCTTTCAAACTGGGCGACTCCCAGAGCGTTCTCAATTTTTTTATAGATGTTGGAACCCTGAGACAACCATTTTCAAAAAATTTCCCGATGATTCTTAGAAATCGACGGACTGTGGAATTTTTTTAATGGAATAACTCCCGAAATATATTTTTGAAAGTCGACTTGTGGCTAAAAATCAACAATACTGTCGTAAATAAGCTTCGACTTGAAAGATTTTTGAGTTTCTTACCAGTTTCCAATTTAAATTTTTCCGAATAGATACAATTTTATTTCAGCTTTCCACGGGGCCCTTTCCGTTATAGTTCGCAAATTACATTTCGGCGAACCGCTTTGTATATCAAAAAGCTCTGCTGCGAGTTGAAATTCAATAAAGCTCACGCGCCTGCATAAAAGCTCACCTAGAGCTATTGACCGGCCCCCCGCTCACGACCCCCTTCCCCCTCTAGCAAATCCTAAGACAAATTTTTTTTGTGATAAGCGCACAAGCGGGCGAACTTATTGACCCAATTAAAGCGAGTTTATTTACATGACGGAAATAGATTTATTACCTTGCTCCACGTGTAACAGATGGCGTAATCGTCAACTTGTGGATCAATGAATGAACTAATTTTAGATATTTATTAATAATATTGTTTACAGTTTTTTTTCCTTTGTAAAATAAGCCAAGTCTAAAAACTATAATTCTTTGGTGGTATAATTAAGGAGAGAAATTCAATGTACAATAATAAAATTAATAAATACGTTTAAACAAAGGTATATCTACAAACACTGCTAATTTAAGCGCTTAAAGACCATTGATTTACAAACAATTCTCACAATATTATTGTCTACACTTTAAAAGTTATTATTTTTTAAACAAATGTATAAAATAAGTATAGGTAATTTACAGCGATATGTATGTAGAGCTATCAATTATATATATTACTTACATAATAATAGGTATATGTGGTATCAAAACCACTCACAGAAAATGGTCACCTGCAGATTAACGGGATGTTAGTGCCTTTTTTTTTTGTTTGATAGAGCGACTGTAGGCACGGAAAACACTCGGAATAAAATTCGCCTAATTATGTGAACAAGACTAATTTCTACCAATCTAACAAGAATATTCTTTTAACTATGCTCACCCTCACCTGTGTTAGTCAAACTCGTGGACTTTGCAACGAAAACACCTCCCATAAATATAATTTTGATAAATTTATAAAACTTACATAGAAAAAATCTCTAGGCTAAGGCAGATTGTAGATCTTTTCTAAATACACTCCCCCTAAGTACAAATTCGTCGTAATTATAGTGCTCTACATAGTTCGAGTACATACATTATTTACAACTTACCCTACTTAATAAACACCAAAAAGGTAATCTAAGAGGTAACACATTGTTCTAGAGTTGTGCAATCTTCCGTATCAAATTA